GTGGATTTTTTTTTTTTTTTAAGTTTTTATTTCTTTATTTTTGAGGGGGGCGGCAGAGAGAGAGGGAAAGAGAGACAGAGAATCCCAAGCAGGCTCAAGAGGCAGAGCCAGATGCAGGGCTCGAACCCACGAACCACGAGATCATGACCTGAGCCCCAATCCAGAGTCAGACACTCGATAGACAGGGCCACCCAGGCACCCCATGGTGGATTTTTCTAGATCATCAGAGTCCGTGGCTCATCACAGACCAAAGAACATCAGAGCTGGGAGAGCTGTCCGAGAGCAGTGAATCCTGATCTCTCAAAACAAAGTAGTTTCTGAACCACTTTCTTTATTTTTGTAAGATCTATGTAACACCTGATGAGTATCTTGCTTTAAATAAACACCTACTTTGGGGAGCCTGGGTGGCCCAGTCGGTGAAGCATCCGACTTCGGCTCAGGTCATGATCTCGCGGTTCGTGAGTTCAAGCCCCGCGTCGGGCTCTGTGCTGACAGCTCGGAGCCTGGAGCCTGCTTCGGATTCTGTGTCTCCCTCTCTCTCTCTGACCCTCCCCCGTTCATGCTCTGTCTCTGTCTCAAAAATAAAGAAACGTTAAAAAAAATTTAAATAAACACCTACTTTAAGTTGAAGTGAATAATTTTTATTTTTTCCTTTTTTAGAGTTTATTTATTTTGAGAGAGAGAGTATGTGTGTGTGTGCAAGTGAGGAAGCAGCAGAGACAGAGAGAAAGAGAGGGAGAGAACCCCAAGCAGGCTCAGCTCTGTCAGTGTATAGCCAGATCTGGGGCTCGAACTCTACAAACCTCGAGATCATGACCTGGCCCGAAATCGAGAGTCAGTTGCTTAACTGACTGAGCCACCCAGGCACCCCTGAAATAAACAATTTTTAAAAGGACACTCTATATCGTACATTATTGAAAACACGGATTTGGTTGATAGTGATGCGCACACACACACACACACACACACACACACGTGTATTTCTAATATGCTCTGAAATGAATTTGCAGCAATTGGAATTAAAAACAATTTTTTTAATGTTTATTCATTTTTGAGAGAGAGAGAGAGAGAGAGACGGAGTGTGAGCAGGGGAGGGGCAGAGAGAGAGGGAGACACAGAATCTGAAGCGGGCTCCAGGCTCTGAGCTGTCAGCACGGAGCCCGCCGTGGGGCTCAAACCCACGAATCGTGAGATCATGACCTGAGCCGAAGTCGGACGCTTCACCGACTGAGCCCCCCCAGGCGCCCCTCAATTGGAATCTTCTAAATATTCATCTGTGTGCCAGCCTCAACCTCCAGGTGCACAGCTGTGCTGCATTTCCATGGCGCGTGCCCACGAAGCGTGTCTATAACGTATTTCCACCGAGCACACCCACGAAGTGTGCCATTGGTGCGTGTCCACAGTGCCCATCCGTGGTATCTGTCTATGGTGCGCATCCCTGGAGCACATCCACAGAGCACATCCCTGGAGCATGTCCATGGGGCATGCCCAAGGGGCACATCCGTGGAGCACTGACCTATCCCTTTCATTTTGCAGTGAGGATGCCTGGGGCCCAGGTGGGGTTGCCCACAGTCTACGCCTAATATTGCCGAGGCATATTCTGAGAAGGGGCCCAGGTCTCAGGGTTGAGCAGCAGGGAGGGGTAGCAAAAAGACTGTGGGTTTCCCAATACACAGAGCCCGAATCACCACCTTGGAACACACCAGTTGAACAACCTCTCTGAGCCTCAGTTTCCCCATTAGAAAATGCACCGCTGTACCTACACAGAACCCACCTCACAGGGCTGGCACCTTACTAGCACTCGGCCTGTAGTCATCGCCTTCCTCCTTCTCCACTTTGCCCAAAACAACAGAACGCATTCTCACCTCGGGGCCTTTGCACATGCTGTTCCTACTGCCTGGACGCCTGAACGAAGAGAGGCAGCTTGTGAACCGCAGGGCTCTGTGCCAACTGTGGTCTAGGAGCCCAACCTAAGGCCGTGATGTGGCCGCTGTGACATGCCTGGCTTTGGGAGGGTTCTGCCCCCAGCAGGGGACTTGCCAGCCCACGTGGTCCGCTCCCAGAAGAGCACAGACCTGGAGCAGAAGCTGGGCCCTGGCACTATCCAGCTCCCAGCCCAGTGTTCCTGTCGCCCACAGCGGACATCGTATTTGAAGATGGTGCCTCTTCTGGGGACACAGCCAGAAGAACCATTTGCACAAATGCTGTAATCCACCCGCTGCTTCCAGCTTCAGAGCGGAGCCGGGACTCGGATAGGCATAGCGAGGTGAGGAATGAAAAGATGGGGCCCTAGGAAGAGGGGGGATTTCAGAAGGTGAAGGGGGGCACGGGTGGGGGGGCGCGTAGCAAGGAGAGGGCTGACGGGTGACAGTGGAGAAAGTATCGGAACGGCTGGTTGAAATCAGGACTATACATTTTAGTCTCTGCCACTAGGCAAGAGTTAGGCAAAGAGCGTATCATTATTCCTTATATTTTATCATCGCGTTGTTATGTCCCATGTTCAACCCTCGTGAGCAGGAAACACTAAAGCCGTCGTCCACTCGCTAACAGGCACTGAGTTGCAGTGTTCTCGCGATCGCACGACAGGGAAACTGAGGCACGACCAGGAGGGCTCTGCCAGGCTCAGTGGCCCCTGTTGCGTGGACGTCTTTCTGGCCAAGTTTCCCCAGAGGGGGTGGAGGAGGCGACTCAGACAGTGCTACGTTGACCTGAGGCCACGCTGTCCCCTGTCTCCAAGGCTCTCTCTCCGGAACAGCGCTTTCCAGTTTAGGGAGCGCTTTAAGGTGCCAGCCCTGGGAGCAGGCAGGGCAGGAGGTGCTGGCCCCCTGAGAGGTGAGGAGCCCACGCCCTGGAGAGGGCTGTGCAGAGGGGGACAGCATGGACCCCCCTGCACACGTTTCGCATGCCAGGGAGCATACTGCCTGGTGGTCCCCTTCTGCAGGGTGGCTGTCCCTGCCTCCGTTTTACCTTTGTGGGGCCTGAGGGGTGCCTGGGGGGCTCAGCCGGTTAAGCAACTGAATTTCGGCTCAGGTCATGATCTCACGGTTCGTGGGTCCAAGCCCTGCGTCGGGCTCTGTGCTGATGCCTCGGAGCCTGGAGCCTGCTTCTGATTCTCTGTCTCCCTCTCTCTCTGCCCCTCCTCCGCTCATGCTCTGTCTCTCTCTTTCTCTAAAATAAATAAACATTTTTTTAAAAAGGTTTTTTTTTTATTTAAAAAGTAGGAACCATGGGACCAGTAGGGGGGAAATTGTGAAGGGGCTGCTTGTTTTGTTTTGTTTTATTGATTTATTTTTTAATTTACATCCAAGTCAGTTAGCATATAGTGCAACAACGATTTCAGGACGAGATTCCAGTGATTCATCCTCTCTGTGTAACACCCAGTGCCCATCCCAACAAGTGTCTTCCTTAATGCCCCCTGCCCGTTTAGCCCATCCCCCCTCCCACAACCCGTCCAGCAACCCTCTGTTTGTTCTCTATATTTGAGAGTCTCTTCTGTTTTGTCCCCCTCCCTGTTTTTATATTATTTTTGCTTCCCTTCCCTTATGTTCATCTGTTCTGTGTCTTAAAGTCCTCAAATGAGTGAAGTCATAGGATATTTGTCTTTCTCTGACTAATTTCACTTAGCATAATACCCTCCAGTTCCATCCACGTAGTTGCAAATGGCAAGATTTCATTCTTTTTGACTGCCGAGTAATACTCCATTGTATGTATATCCCACATCTTCTTTATCCATTCATCCGTCGATGGACATTTGGGCTCTTTCCGTACTTTGGCTATTGTTGATACTGCTGCTATAAACATTGGGGTGCATGCAAGGGGCTGCTTGTTCTTGAGGTGCAGGTGATGGGGCTACAAACGTAAGCCCCTCAAACCCTCAGGAAGAGAAGCAGGGGCATCAGCTCCAGGGACGTGGCAAAGCAGAGGTTCAGTAAGTATTTGTTGAATTTCCTTAAATCTTGGTCTTCACTGTCCAGCACGTGAGGCTGGGTGTCCAGCATCTCATAGCTTCTCTCACTGGACTCAGGCAGAGACTAAGTCCCACAGGGCATAGAGAGTAAAGCTTCCCTTGAGAAATGGGGTATGACTTTCCACACTTTGAGATACAGAGAAATCATCTGTGGGATCTTGATAAAAATGCAGATTCAGATTCAACAGATCTGGGGCCCAGCCTGAAATTCTGCTTCTTTTTTTTTTTTTT